CCCACCCCAGCATCCACCTGTGAACTGTTGGAGCATGTGATGGCCCACCCCAGCATCCACCTGTGAACTGTTGGAGCATGTGATGGCCCACCCCAACATCCACCTGTGAACTGTTGGAGCATGTGAAGGTGACGAACCTATAGATCCAAAACAGCAGGATCTTAATGACACAAGACAACAACAGGAAATCCTTGAGGAGTCCCAGTGAGAGCTCGGAAACCAGAGGCCTTGAGGCTGACCAATGATTCATGGCAATGAACACTTATAAGTAAGCACAAAAGGACTAAAGGTAAACTGTGCGTATCAACGGACCACACCACAGCTTCTACAACAAGATTCTTCTTGTGTGTGTGTGTGTGTGTGTGTGTGTGTGTGTTTTAAACCAAGATTATTCTTTTAGTTTTGTTGTATTTGATTCTTGGTTTTTCTTTTAAATTTGGTTTTGATTTGGGGGTGGGGGTGTTGTAAGGACAGAGGGCAGATGCGAGGAGATGGGGAGATGAGTGGGATCAGACTGTATGATGTGAAATCCACAAAGATTCAATAAAAGGTAAAAAAATACAGGATGAAAAAGAAAACTGTTGAACAATGAAGTAATCCAATATGAAGAATAAACACATTTACAAAAAAGGTAAAATGTAATAAAGTAACATCCACAAAACAAGCCTATGACTTTAAGGGGAATTTTTGAAATAAGGACAAAAACATCTTGGAAAAACTAATGCGATCTTGAAATGTGAATTTTCTTACAAATATATTATTAATAGAATCCTGGAAGGAATTAATGAATAGTGATTATGTTATAAACATGTTAGGATATTATGAGTATGGTGACTTGATAGAGAAATGCCCCCCCAACCCCACAGGTTCATCGGTTTGCTCACTTAGTCCCCAGTTGGAGGCACTATTTGGGGAGATTCTGGAATCTTTACAAGTGGAATTTTGTTAGAGGGAAGTAGGTTACAGGGCGACTGTACTGGTTGGTTTTGTGTCAACTTGATACAAGCTAGATTCATCAGAGACGAAGGAGCCTCAGTTGAGAAAATGCCTCCATGAGATCCAGCTTAAAGCATTTTCTCAATTAGTGATCAATGGGGGAGGGCCCAGCCCATTGTGGATGCTGTCATCCCTGGGCTGGTGATCCTGGGCAAAGAAGCAAGCCAGTAAGCAGTACCCCTTTATGGCCTCTGCCTCAGCTCCTGCCACCAGGTTCCTGTCCTATTTGAGTTCCTGTCCTGATTTCCTTTGGTGATGAACAGCTATGTGGAAGTGTAAATCAAATAAACCCTTTCCTCCCCAAGTTGCTTTTTGGTCATGGTGTTTTTTTTTTTTTTTTTTTTTTTCCAACAACAGAAACCCTACCTAAGAGAAGTTGATACCAGCATAGTGGGGTACTGCTGTGACAGACCTGACCATGTTTTTGGAAGGAATGTAGAAGGACTTTAAAACTTTGGGCTAGAAAAGCCATTGAGCTTTGAGACCTCAGTGGGATGTTCTTTAGGAGCTGAGAAAATAAGAAAGTTTAGAGCAGTGCAGAAGATGAGGGCCTGGCTTATGAAATCTCAGAGGGAAAGTTAAAGACTCTTTAATTTAAAGAGAGTGGCTTTGAGGGTTGATAGCCTTACCCTACTTTCTGCTCTCTTGGCTTTCTGTGTGGATGAAAATGTTATGAGCCAGCCCATTGCTCTGGCAGCCATGCCTGCCTTCCCTGTCATTGTGATTTCCAGCCCTCTGGAATCAGAAGCTAAGATAACCTCCCTTATGTTCCTTTGATCATGATATTTTATCAAGGTAACTGAAAAGTTACTAATACAATGAGTCATAAGAGACAGAGCACTGCCATCATATATTTGATTGCATTTTCTTTCTTTCTTTTTTTTTTTTTTTGGGTTTTTGAGACAGGGTTTCTCTGTGTAGCTTTGCACCTTCCCTGGATCTCGCTCGATAGACCAAGCTGGCCTGGAACTCACAAAGATCCACTTGCCTCCGCCTCCCGAGTGCTGGGATTAAAGGCGTGCGCCACTACCGCCCGGCCTTTGATTGCATTTTCAACCTGAGGATAGGTGAGATACTCTGAGACAAAGTCTTTTTGTGGGATTTCAGGTAAACGATAATTTTTCAACAACCACAGTCCACTGCATTCAGTCAAGCCAAACAGAAAGAGCTCCTTGTAGACACACTACAATCAAACTATGAGACATGAAAAGCCAAACAAACACTTTAAGTATGGTAAAATGAAGCCAGATGGGGTAGCACACACCTGTCATACTGCGACCTGGGAGGCTAAAGCAAGAGGATCTGGACTGCAGAACCAGCCTGGGCTCCACAGCACCTGTCACAAAAAAAAAAAAAAAAAAAAAAAAAACCCACAAAACACCTCAAATCCCTCAAACTAAAACACACAAAACCAAAACATTCATACAGAGTATTTTATTCAGCAAATGACCATTTATTTAGACCAAAAAAAAAAAAAAAAACACCACCATGGTGAAACACTAAATGAATATAGTTAATGTAGTCAAGGATAATGAGAGAATTAAGAGTGACTGTGTGTAGCATCAAGGCTGGGGAAGGTATGAGACACCACATCTTCTGCAAAGGTGGTTAGCATGTCCCTTGGGCTGACCTGAGGCTTCTAAAGAGATAGACAGAACAAAGTTCTAGGCAGAAACAGACAAAAAGAGCAGAAGAAACTCCAGGAGCTAAAAGTGAAGCCTGCAGGGAAGAGCCCCTGGCCATAGGCGCAAACAAGAGGACTGATTTTTCAAGAGTGATATTTAATCATTTATTTTTGGACTGAGATACTGATGCCCCTTGATTCTTTCTACTTCTACTGAAACTTCTGGATTCCCTGCCAGTCCACCTCACCACCACCACCACCATCACCAACGTCTAGAATGCAATATTGTGTTGGAGTCTATTGTGCATTTAAGAATAAAGTTTTGTAAAAAAAAAAAATCATACAGTGGTTTACAGCCTATTGACTTTTACTCTGCCATTTCTATTTCAGGCTAAGTAAATTTTAGAATCTTGAAGAAAAAAAGTGAATATGTAATCAAAACATTTTCAAATATTAAATCCTAAGAATTTATCACACAAACTCATGCTCAGGTTTACAGAACCAAGAGAGGATGGACATCGTGGAGATAACTATTAAGGCATATTTTTTTGGGCAGGTGAGATGGTATCAGTGGGGAGAAGTATTCACTATACAGGCTTGATGACTTGAATCGATTCCCTCAACTCATGGTAGAAGGAAAGAACTGATTTCCAAGTTGTCCTCTGACTTCCACAGGTGTGCTGTGGCACAGACATGTGATGGCACACTTGGTCCTGTACTCACACTTGGTCCTGTACTCACACTTGGTCCTGTACTCACACATGGTCCTGTACTCACACATGGTCCTGTACTCACACATGGTCCTGTACTCACACATGGTCCTGTACTCACAC